ATATGACTCAACGTAAAATTATGACTTTAAATATCCCACCATCTACAGTACATAATATCATCAGAAGATTTAGAGGATCTGGAGAAATCCCTGTATGCAAGGGACAAGGCTGACAGTCAGTGTTGGATGCTCATGATCTTCAGGTCCTTAGGCAGCACTGCATTAAAAACAAGCATGATTCTCTACTGGAAATCACTGCATGGGCTCAGGAACACGTCCAGAAATCACTGTCTGTGAACACAGTTTGACGTGCAATCCACAAATGCAAGTTAAACCTGTATCATGCAAAGAAGAAGCCACATGTCAACATGATCCAGAAACGCCACCGTTTCAATCCTGTTCCATTCATACAAAAAATGTGAACAACTCTCAGTGTTTTTTTCAGAGTGAGTGATGAAAGTCCATAGACTTCCTTGATAAACTTGACAAGATCTGATAAAACTAAGTGAAGAACCTCAGAGCTGTGCAATCTGAACCTGACTGCACACTTATTTAACTATTCCAGGGAAATGAACAGCGTTAGGCAAATAAAAAGTTTTTGAAATAAAAAAAAAACAACTTTTTTAAATATCTGGAATCGTCCCAGAATCTGTTTCACACTTCACCCCCAGAGGACCTGAGGAGCTTCATCACCAGATGCTCTGCAGGACTGAAATGGTTACAAACTTTACTGCTGCTTAAGTAAGAAGGAAACTTTGAGAGGGACCTAGGTTCAGTTCAGCACAGACAATTCTAACACACCAAACCACTCTGAATGACTCTGTTTACATCTTAACCATTTAAGTATGCAGAAATTTGGAAAAAATTGCAGAATTCCTGTTCAAAGTCTCCCCATGTTTTCAGCAAAATATGAGCTTTAGCAAAAAAAGCATAAACGAATGTGAAGAAAGGTCCATTCAGTAGACATTTAGGTTCTGGTTCAGTGTGTGAGATGTTTGTGTAAAAGTGTGTGAGATGTTTGTGTAAAAATACTGCATATGTTTTTTTTTTGGCAAAGAACAGTGGAGAACAGTACAATCTGAATATTAAATGCACTCATATTTGACTTAAGCTCATGAGACAGAGCTGATGAGTATTAGACAGTGTGTTAGTGCATAAGGATGTTTAATGTGGTGTATATTCCAGCATTTATACAGTATGTATCTTTATATTGTCTTGTAACTATTATAACGTATATATATGTATGTATATATACCGAACACACCACATGGGTGGTAAAGAAGACACAACAGTGCCTCTTCTACCTCAGGTGGCTGAGGAGGTTTGGCATGAACTCCCACATCCTCAGAACTTTCTTCACATGTACTGTGGAGAGCGTTCTAACAGCTCCATCACCTCCTGGTGTGTTAACTGCACGGCCATCGAGTAGAAAGCTCTGCAGAGGGTGGTTCGGACAGCCCAGCACATCACCGGGGTCCAGCTCCCAAACCTCCTGGATTTATACACCAGCCACTGCCTGAGGAAGACCAGGAGGATCCTAAAGGACTCCACCCACCCAAGCCACTATCTGTTCTCACAGCTGCTGAGCAGGAGGAGGTACTTGTTTCTACGCTCATTGTCCATTTTATCAGCTCCACTTACTATATAGGTGCACTCTGTAGTTCTACAGTTACAGACTGTAGTCCATCTGTTTCTCTGATACTTTGTTAGCCCCCTTTTACCCTGTTCTTCAGTGGTCAGGACCCCCATGGACCCTCACAGAGCAGGTACTATTTGGGTGGTGGGGCTGGGCAATATGGCAGAAATATGACAGCACAATATCTAGAGCATTTTCCTTATACACAATACTCATCAATCACGTACTGTCAGTAATTCTCTATCTGACCACCAGAGGTCTCTCTCTCCTGAGTACTAGCCCTGCTCCCAGGATCAGGCCACCTGCACCTTATAATCTCCCTAATCAGTCTCAGCCAGTCGGTGCAAGTATTTCCAGTCCCTTGGAGTTTGTTTTGTTTGTCCCTCTCGTGTTTTGAGCTTCTGTGTAACTTTTGGAATCTGCTTTTGCTTTTTGCCCTTTTTGCATTTTCTGCCTGGCCCTTCGTACTGATTCACTGTTATGATCTTTTTACCTTGGCCTTTTTACTATTGTGTTGGATTCCCCTGTTGTTAATAAACCTGCACATGGATCCCTCACAACTTTCTGAGTCTGCTTTGTCGCATATACTAATACATAATTTGTCATAACCCCCTCTTTAATGTTCTTTTTAATGCTTTATTGTTTTTAAGTACCAGTGAAATCCCCAATATGCTTAGAAAAGTATAGTGTGATGTAATTTCAATGACACAATCTGCTTAGTTGAGAAGTGTTCTAGCCATGTGGTCTTTTGTTATTATAATTGTTATTATAAGTTAAATAAGAGTTTTTTATAAAAAAAAATGACAACATTGAAATGGTTCAGAATTATTGCCATTGCTATTAAAAAATACATTCAGCATGTTTATGTATAACCTTATATTTATGTATTTATTATATTAATGTAAAAAAAAATACTTTATATCCCATAATGCACTGTTACAGATTCACTCACTGTGCTGAAATCATGCAGAGCGTTCTAGTCTATGTTGATACAGTAATGCAGTGAAACAGCTCTGTAGTGATGAGGATCTTTTGTTATAACAGAATTTCCAGTAACGTTAACATAGCGAGGATTAGACTTTCACTCAGCCTTGTTACGTGAGAAGAAAAAGCATTTTTTATATTTCACATTTTAACCATTTTTGACATTAAAACTAATGGAAACAGACTGTGAACCAAATATGAATGTAATTTCAGTACAGTGATCTGTAACAGCACGTACAGTCGACCTAATCTGAGACTAATAAACATTCAGAAAAATAAACATTCAAAAAGTGTCACTGTTCAGAACGCCTAGGAATTAGTTAACATCTAAAAATGAATAATAGAATAAAAATACAACTTAATTCATGCATTTTTTAAAATACTAGATAAATAACAGCACAAAAGTCATCTGATATGGCAGCAAACACTCAGTAGGTTTTAGTTAGCTTGTGTTTGGCTTGTTTAGCTGATGTTTCCTACATTTACATTTACAGCATTTAGCAGACGCTCTTATCCAGAGCGACTTACAAAAAGTGCTTTGTCTATCTAGAGAAAGTATCTTTGCTAGTTACCAATAGTTTAGAGAGAAAGACAGTCCTGAGCTCAGATACTGCTACTGAGTCCATGTTGATACCCAGAGAAAAGGGAACAGAGTTAAACACAGCGCAGTGCAATACATTTCAATAAGTGCAGATGTAAGGGGTTGGAAATCTTAATAAAGATGCACCGACACCCTACATTTTTTTTGTTATTCGTATTGGGTTTTAAAAATGTTAATAATTTCTTTTTTATGTGCTTCTTTTTCATTCTTTTCTTTGGTTTGGGTTTGTAATAAACTTCATGTCTTTTAAAAGCAAATCAGCTTGAGTAAGAGGGTACTAACTTGGTTAACGGCACTAGACCAGCAGGGGGCTCCACACTAAGAGGACGGATGGTGTGCATAAAAAGGGCCCTGCAGAGGTAATACTTTGAACGCCAGAGGATTGCACATCAAAATGTTTGTGTCCGTTCTCTCTTTTATTAAGGTATGGAAACGTTGTTTTATCTGTTACTGCCTTGTTTTACTGGTCTGAGGATGTATTTTTATGTGCCTGGTGTTTTATGCCATCGTGTCAGCTCACGGAGCTGCGACAGTGCCACGCTGCCAACATCAACTTCAGCAGCAGCCTAACTAAGCTGCTATAGTGCTTTACAGGGGTTCTCTGTGAAGGAAGGCTGTGCTGTTGTGTTTGTGTTGAAGTGTTGAAGAATATTCCCTTTTACCCTGAAGCTGTGAAAGTTTATGGTTTACCTGTGTTTTAGGGTTTTTATCACATCGGTGTCTATTTATTGATTTGGTTTTCTTCTTTTCTTTGTTTTCCTTTCTTATCTACTTAAGCTTGAGTTAAGTAATGTTGGTTTATTAATTTAATTTGTTTTCTTTTCTAATTATGACTTCATGAGTTTGGGTATTTCAAATTGATTTTTGTCTTTAGGCTCATTTTATTGAGAACATTGTTTTTTTACTATTTCATTAGTGATTAATTGGGTTATTTTGTGAATTTGTAGTCTTTTCTTTTTTTAGTTTCTTTTTTTAGTTTCTATTTTTGGAGTACTTCTTCTATGGAATTTATAAGGATTCATATTCAAGTATTTAAATTGCTATTGGTTTTTGTATGAATAAATTTGAATGCCAGAAGATTGCACATCAAAACATTTGTGTCAGTTCTCTCTTTTATTAAGGGAAACGGGCGTTGTACCGCACCCCGGGTTTACCCTAGGCCTGAGGCCGGTAACACAGAACAATAAATTTCAGTAAATGCTTAACTCAGTGCTCACTTAAGTCCTGTATAAAGAGACAGTCTTCAGTCTGCGTTTGAAGACAGTGAGAGACTCTGCTGTTCAGTCAGTGGGATTTCGTTCCACCACCTGGGCTCTAGAACAGAGAACAATCTTGATGCTTGTCTTTCATGTGTCTTGAAGGATGGTAGGTCAAGCCGAGCTGTACTTGTAGCTCGAAGGGCTTCGTTATCAAAATGAAGCGAATATTCATCATCGAAAGCAGCAGTGGGTTTTCCATCCACCAGTTTTTTGTGATTTTTGAAAATGCACAAAAACCCTGAATGTAAAATTAAAAAAAAACACCCAAATATCACAAAAAGAGTTTTACGCTAGGATGGCGTAGAAAAGTTAGAGTACTGATGAAGCCAGAAGTAAAGCAGAAACAGAGTTAAATCTCTCCAGCCGAGTTCTGATGCAGCCCCTAATCACGGTAGCCTGGGTCATCTAAAGTTTCTTCATAACTGTAGTGAATGGAAACACAACTTTATTTGCTTTTTTCTGCCAAAATTCCATAAATGCGCATAACATCTGCAAAACATTTGAATGGAAACCCAGCCACTTTAACACAGGCTGCACTGACGTGTCATTAACTTCCATTGTGAGCAGGCAAATGAAAATCCTTTAGCTGCCAATCAAATCTTACTGCTGCTCTCAACAAACGCTTGACACATCTAAAGACTGACGAGCACTAGACTAGCTTACATCAGCTGCAGTAGATAAACAAGTTTTTCAGGACTGATGGACCTTGACTGAACAACAGGGCACTGAAGGGATGTTTCAGAACCATTCTTTAGTGGTTCTAGATGTAAATCTCTGGAATGTCACTTGCAGCAAACACCAAAAACACCTGGAATGTGAAAACACAGTTTGTTCGTGTGTGTCCGCTGCTGTGTTTCTGGTGCGGTTAGCATTTATGGTCTAAAATGGACTTGACTCATGCATGGCTTCTTTCAGACAGTGCAAGTGACCGATCACCATCTCCGCTTAAAAAGTCCATCGTTGGTGAGAACTGGAGACACTGCGATGATACAGTCTCTTCACCCAAGACAAGACAATAACAAACTCAGTGGGCTGGTTTTCCATTTTGGTGGTTTATGGATCGCTCTTCATCAGTGGAGCTGACGGCTCTGAAGTCTTTGTTTTTGTTCTGCTTGTTTTGTTTCCATCGTCTGAAGAAAATGATAATTAACACTGCTAGGCCGGCTGTGAGGGCAGCGATCAGAGCTCCAAGGACAGCATATTGTCTCATGTCTCCTGATAGTGGACCACCAGCTCTGTCTTCTAGAAATGGAAATGTAAGAAATACATCAGCCATGTTGACATTATTGGCACCTAAATTTCTTAAAAATAAAATAAAAGTAAAAAAAAAAAGAGCGATGCTGTAGAGCAGAGGCCTTCAAATCTGGACCCTGAATCCAGTTTCCAGTCCTGGGTTTTGTAATAACTGGTAGTTTTGACACTAAGTGGCCAATCAGTTACATCAACAGTTACTAACAGTTATTACAAAATCCAGGACCGGAGAGCGGATCTGTAGACCTCCTCTATAGAAGATCCTCTTTATGCTTCCCAAAAGAAGAGAAGCGTTCTTTAAAGAACCACATGTGAGTGTGACCTTTTTGAAATTTAAAGAAATACAGGGTCTCTACACCTAATGGTTACCTAGAACCGAACGTCTGCTGAGTCAAACTGTGGTGAAATGTGAGAGTTCCTGATTGTTATGTGCTAGATTAGAGTCACTGTTTCCTCATGTGAGGGCGGGCCTTGGCAAACAAAGGATCCTTTCCTTGGAGATGTTCCTTCACTCCCTGTGCGTGACGAGCTGCCTTTAGCTGAGAGCGGTGTTGTTGTGGTAGTTGATCTAAGTTTAGTTACCGTGTATGTGAGGACCTTATGTTGCGTGATGTGTGAATAAAGTGTTTCATTAGCACAGCCTGTATGGTGTTTTAGAATATATATATATATATATATATATATGTATGCTAAGCTTTGTTTATCCACACTTGACAGCTAGTCTGATGTTTCTTGTCTCCCCCATACTCTAAGCATGGACAGGAAAGCTCGGGCGCACCTGTACCTTCACCGCAGGTTCTTTCACTCTGTATAGATACAACAGGCCAGGAGCACCTTTTGTATTTTGTGGAGGTTTAGCTGTGGAGAGGCAGGTCAGCATGGCTTTTTTCTTTGGGCACAGTCTGAAGTCCACACTAATGACTAGCTGGCAGGGTTGTGTTCATACTATCATCATAATTTGTGGATTTGTATAAGCTCTGCCTTTTCATGGTTTGTACTGGTTCTGCATACGGCGGTATGATACGCTTTTTACTGCACAAGTAAAGCACTGCAGAACCTAATACTGCTGTGATTTGGCACCTTCCTACCCTCATACTATCACTCCTACACCATATGTTGCTGCCTCTTTGCCCCTAAGCTCGAAGTCATTTAAAGCATTATTGTCTAATTACCCTCTGTAGATGTTCTTAACTTCTAAAAGGTTCTTCACACTCAAAATGTTGTTTTTCTTTTTAAATAACCATCTGTGGTTCTACAGCTCCAGAGAGCTGTTTTAGTCCTGGGTATTTTTAAAGGTGTGTATGAAGAAGGATTTTAATCTCACCTAAGAACAGGTTGATGTTCCGTCTGATCTCCTGCCCCAGATCTTGGTTCTTCAGGATGAAGGTGATGGAGGAGTTGGTGCCTCGTTTGAGGTTGAGTTTACTGTTGATGCTGTAGAGCCTGGTGTGTTGGTCCTGCTCCAGCTGCGTTACCTCTGTGACGTCCTCCAAGTTACCCATCAGCCATTGCAGCGATGGGGAGGGGTAACCTCCCTGTGAGGTCAGCAGGAGAACCACCTGCCCGTTACTCAACAGGTTGATGCGCAGATGAGGCTCTGGGTAAAAGGCTATAAAAAAGAACATAATATTACAACAAATGGTTAATATTCCATATTTAATGAATACATTAGTTTGGATGCAGCTGGGCTGATGCTGATGTCTGATATTTTTCATGTACATATCTGCCCATACTGATTCTTAAACATTTATAAAATGTAAAAATCCACCTAGACTAGCATTACATGAATTAATATAACATTTATTTCTGTTGCAAATGCATTAAAATGAGTAAAAAACAGATATTTTAGTGCAGTATCTGAGCGTCACCTAGACATTCTGCTCATCTGGAGTTCAATAAACACATCAAATATCAATCTGAAAGCTGTGAGTCGTCTGTAAAGCCTGAAATAAGCATTTAAACATCAGAGGTGTTGAGTTTTTCACACCACGTTGTATGTCTTTACGTATTAACGTCACACACCGACACCAAAAATATCCAGCCAACTTGTAGTGGTCTCCAGTAAAGTGGACAGTGAATGTCTTCTCTACTCTAAAGCATCCTTACCTGCTACTTTCAGTCTGAAGCTTTTCTTCTGGCTGCCGATCTGTGTGCTGACCGAACAGGTGTATATTCCATCATCCTCCAGGGTGACCCGGTCCAGCCTGAGTGATGCATTTCCCCTTGCCATCTCCTGGTGGTACAGGCTGGTACGGTTGGCATAGTGATGATGCTGTTGGTCCAGCTGGTCTCGGCTGTGGTAGAAGCTGTGGATGTTCACCAGGCCGCGCTGCCACGTGATCTCACTGCTGCTCACATCCCAGGAGCCTCCAGTGGGAAAGCTGCAGGACAGAACCACGGGTTGCCCATAGACCCCGACCTGACCACCACTGGGCACTGAGACCTCGAACTCAGCTGTAGGACAAACAAAGACAGAAGACAGGTCAGGCTCATAATTATTGGACTCATATGTTGATATATGTTGACAAATATCGAACAAATGTAATGCTTTTAAGCACTAAGCAATTTGCAAACACGCAGCCCCACCCAAAACCAGTCTTCTAAGGTTGTCCGCTCCACACTGTTTCACATGTGTAATAACAGGTTCCATGTCTGAAACTTTATGAGTGGCATGGAAAAATAGACGCAACACTAACGTTCTTGTAGTACATTTAGTCCAACTCAGCTTAAAACACTTTGGAGAGACGAGGTAAATCAGTTCCTTCTGCAGCCTCAGTGTAATGACATGGACATGACAGTTACCAGGAGAACTAATACAGTAAAACAGAGATTGGTTCTGAACTTTTGACTGTTATTGAAATCATGCTACATATTACATTTTTGATGGAATTAGTATTGTAAAAAGTCTTTCAAAGTAAATCATGGCAGGTCTATTTGTATAGACCCCATGGTAGACCCCAACCCAACACCAACCGTCCTACAGCCCAACACAGAATAGCACACCAACACTGCTGCATGTGTTAAGCTGACAACAGAAACTACTATGAGTGCAGTGTCTCCCCCTTTTGTTTGGTCACTTTGCATGGCAGTGGAATGCTTTAACATGGCTGCTGAAATTCAGACCTGAATCGATTGTTATGCCAAGATTTCTGACTTGATCTTTAGCCCTGAGAGCTCTGGGGTAAAGAAGTGTTGACCTCCCGTCTGTGTTCCTTACTACCAAATACAGTCACCTCTGTCTTTACTTATTTAGTTGGAGAAAGCTTTCTTTCATCCAGTCATTTATTGACTCAAGACAATCACATAAAGGGTTAATGGGGCTGTAGCCATCACACGAGAGAGGTACGCAGATCTGGGCATCTGTGTAGCTATAGTAAGATAATTGATTGTATTTCAAGGATTTGGCCCAGTGGTAGCTTATAAAGGTTGAACAGTAAGGACCCTCGAATGGATACACAGACCCGTCCAACTCAGCTTGTTTCTTAATTTCAGGTGATATCAGCTCAGCCTTAACCCACTATAGTCATATCTGCATTAAATATTTTTGTGAACTGTCTAATTAGCATCTGAATTTGAATAATGTTTGGTGAAAACTATGGCAAATTGTAAAATGAATACTGCAAAAACAGAAAAACAGTGTTACGTTTCTTGTTTATCTGTAGTTGACTGAGAGAAGTCTAGTTTTAAGATTAAAGACTTACTGTAAGAGGAGACTCCAGAGAGAAGAAGTAGGAGGCAGTAAAGCGATGCTGGAAACTTCTCTGTGTCAACCATATCACAGCTCTGAATCTGCAGCTGATCCTGATCTAAACAGCCTGTACTGACTCCTGCAGCTGTACTGAACCTGAACTATGAACTAAACCGGCTGTACTGACTCCTACAGCTGAACCCGCTCTTCTGCTCAGTGGACAGGCTGCGTAGAGCAAATTAACCCATCTAACTTTAATTATATGTACCATATTATGGTTCAGTAACTGGAGCTGAAATAAAGCAGACTGTCACTCAGCTGAACTGCTCAGTGACTGAACTGCGCCTTGGCGGTCGACTGCATTTGGGGAAGGAGCTAGAAGCGAGCCATCAAACCGGACAGATTAGTCAATGAGGACTAAGACGTCTGTCGTCTCTCAGCTCGTGCTCCTGGGTGGAGACGAACTGCAGTACTTTCACTTTGCTTTTTGTAATCTGCAGATTTTGGGATCTGATGCAGCATCTTTTCAGGTCATGTGCTGCAGTAAAAAGATTCTGGACTGATTTGCAAATTTGCATACATCGCAGAGCAGACACTGACATTGTTTTTAAGAAAATAGATGTTATGCTAATGTTTAACCCCACTGGAAATATTCCTGAAACATTTTTGTGATTAATGTAATAATTACACTTGAACATAAACTGAAATAGTGTAGAAACAATCCTACATTTGAACATTTTCATTTAGATGTAAAAGCATATTTGCAGACCTTCTCGAAGTGTTCAAAACATGAAATATTGGCAATATAATTTTTTTTTGTAATATTAATTTGATATGAATCATATACCCATATTGTCTAGCTACTATCCAAAATTCCATGAGCTAAAGATGGGGACCAATCAGGTGAGGAGTGGATGATTTTGTTAACAGCTGTCTGGCCGTCATGACAGAGAGGATTATATTCAGATGTGTCGCATGTTTGTCCCTTTATCTCCTCTGTGCTGAGGAGCACCTGAAGGATCTGATACACATCACTGATCCGCTAAAACCTCATGTATTAAGTCAGTGTGTGGTGCTGACTGAGACGGTGACGGATGTTGTTAACCAAAAGTTAAACTGCACCATGTTGTGCGGTGAGCGTATTAACTCATTTAACAGGACGAGTGTGACTGATACACTGGGTGCTGCACACGCAGAGCCTCAACGTTACATGAGTCTGTATTGAATAAACCGAACACACTCGAGGTCTCTTCACTAAAGGATCTGCGTGTTTCTGACGTCACCAAAGTGTTGACTTTGAAGGGGACTGTAGGTCTTAGGGTGTCATTTGGAACTGAACTCAAGTCAAACAAGCCTTAAATGTCCAGCATGTGACATAGTTGCATAAAAGGGGGTGGGTTCTGCATTATTTACACTAAATTAAATAAAGAAAAAATACATATGCATATGAATAACTTAATACCCATTATCTTTGTGCCACAGTCAGGCTTCATGCAGTCTATGTTTGCACGTATGTACAATGTGAAACTAAAACAGTGGCACCGACCTGTCAGACCAGATCCGCTGTTTAAAGTTCAAGATGTTTCCTGGTAGCATTTTTTTTACACATTCTACTCTGTTAGCTCTGTATGACTGATTATAAATCCATTATTATCACTAATCCCTCTTTTTGTGTCCAACCTGAATCAGTTTTCATTCTGTTACTACCCATTTATCTTGATGATATCCAGATTAATAAAAAAGCAAACAATAAAAATAAATCAATAAATAGTAATGAAAAAATAAAATAATAATGATAATAATAATAATAATAATAATAATTATTATTATTATTATTATTATTATTATTTATAGAGCACTTTTCATGCCAGTGGCAGCTCAAAGTAGTTTACAGACTGCTTTACTGATAAAGCTTAAAAGTAATAGAAGAAACTATGAGTATTAATTTAAAATCGTATAAGACAATGTCTGAATCAGAATCACTTTATTTTGCCAAATATGTGACACATTCAGGGAATTGATCTCGGTGAGTCACACACGACTGATATTAACACACTGAACAGACCAGACGAGAACACAGACTTAACAGTATTTAACTAAGAGACAAATACTATAAAAATAGAATAAAAAATAAAGAATAATGAATGATAAAGAGCCATGAGGAGCTAAAGAGAAGTGTGAATATCTGTACATGTGAAGGTCTGATGACATAATATAAAAACTATTACATACAGAATATTCCAGAATAATATGAACATTTGTAGAAATGTAAGGTGTGCATCTGTGTAAATGGTCATGTAATACAGAATGTCCTCTGTTGGTTTAGTTTGAGTGTAAAGTGTGAGTGTCCACTGTGGGGAAAAAGCTATTGGTGTGTCTGGCTGTGCTGGTTTTGATGGTCCTGAATCTTCTACCAGAGGAGGGTGTCTGGAGGAGGTGATGTCCAGGATGAGAGCGGTCAGCTGTAATTTTGCCAGCACACTTCATCACCCTGCTGTTGTCGATGTCTTGAAGCATTGAAAGATACATTCCATGATCCTCGATGACTCGTTCTTGTGAGGTATCAAATGAAATGCTTATGGAGGAACCAAACCAGATGGTCAGTTCAGATTAAAGAGATAAAGACCAAAGAGTCGTAGCGTTTTACTGAAGCTCTGAGTTAAAGAGCTGCGTTTTCAGATGTTTATTAAAAGTGAGCTCTGAGCTCGACTGTCTAATAAAAGCTGAACTGAGCTCCACAGTTTAGAAGCAGAATAACTGAAAGTCTCTCCACGTTTTCTGTGTTTTACTGAAGGAGTTCAGAAGGTCAGAATCTGCAGATCTGAGATCATAAACAGACCTTCAGGAGCTTTAAGGTCATTTAGAGCTTTAAAAACCAGCAGCAGAGCTTTAAACTCAGAGCTCTCTAACAGATCCAGGCGGTCAGTGCAGTGTGTGAACATGGTGATATGAGCTCTCTGTGTTGGTGCTGTGAGGATCCGTGCTGCTGCGTTCTGTACGGGTTCTAGAGGATGGACTGTTTTCTCCAGTCAGAAGATCATTACAGTGATCAACTCTGCTGAACAAACACAGCTACGAGTTTCTCTGTGTCACTCTGAGAGAGAAAAGGCTGAACTTTAGTGATTTTCTCGCATGATAAAAGCTGCTTTAGTGACTGTTTACATGCAGATTAAACAGAGCTCAGAGTCTAAGATCTCACCCAGGTTTCTACTGGTTTGGTAAATGAAGATAAAGAGCTGAGATTCTCATGAAGTAGCTTCCTCTGTGTTTTAGTACCAATGATAAGTATTTCAGTTTTTTGTGATTTAGTTGTAAAAATGTTTGTGGCATGCACTAAGAAATATCTGACACACAGCAACAGCGTCTTAAACATCAGAAGGAAAGGAAATGTATAATTGCCTGTTCATAAATAATAATAATAATCATCATCATCATCATCATCATCAAGTCAGGTCTCTGTAAACCACTAATGTGCATCTCAGCTGTGCAGTAAAATACACATGCACCTGTACATATTAAAATAATATTTCTGAACAGTAACAAGACATTATAATAGCCTCAGCAAATAAAAGGCAAGAATGTTATGCTGTTGTCTTTTCCTGTGGCTGAATGCATCACCTAAGGAACCTGTTAGTGGTGTTAGCTTTAAATTTCAAATGATTATTTGATAAATAAAACTCAATTTACATTAATCAATAAAAAAACAATCTATTAAATCATCTGTCTGCATTTTGACTGATAAATATGTAATCCCTTGTTCTGCAGTCTGTTAGCACTCAAGTCACTGAAAGAGAGGAAACCCACACCAGCAGGATCTCATGAACACATATGTTTGTAGCTATAAATTAAAGGGAAATGTAGTAAAATTACATTTTCGCGGTTTATATAAAGTAAAAGTGAATATGAGTAAAAAAGTTTTGTTTAACTAGATCTAGGCTGAACAGCTTAGCAGACAGCTACTAGGCTAACAGGCTCTTAGTCTTTACTGATGGATTCATTGTAAAATTTCTTCATAAAAAATAAAGAATAAGTCACTTGAATCTCCTTTACAAGCGTCAGCGTTTGCATAAGCAGTATTAAATACATTCTGGGAAGTGAATCCTGGATGTTTGTTTTGTTTTCTTTTCTTTATTTGCGTATATAATTTTTTTTTAAAAGATACACTATATTGTTTGTAAGAAAATATGAAGGAGAGTTATAAAAAACATCCAGGGGCTTAACAAGTGGAATTCTCTGAACATCAAATTAACACAATCTAATTACAAATTAATTCCTATTTCAGTAAGCAAAATCATTTAAAACAGCATTTTGTGTTTACTTGGGTTTTCATTGTCTAATATTGAAAGTAGTTTGTTGATGTGAAACATTCAAGTATGACAAATATGCAAAAATGGAAGAAATTGAGAAGAGGGGAAATGTTTTCACAGCACTGTAGGTAACTTACAATGAAACATATACATTTGTGATCATGTCCACTACTGAGAAGACTGTTTGGTCACCCCTCAAAGGAGTTCAGTAACACTGACTTTAAGAACTGACTCATCACATTGATTGATCAGTCTACTCAGGCTTTAGCAGAGCTCAGTAACGCTGAGATTAATAACCGATCACATTGATTTATCAGTCTACTCAGGCTTTAGCAGAGGTCAGTAACACTGAGATTAATAACTGATCACATTGATTTATCAGTCTACTCAGGCTTTAGCGGAGCTCAGTAACACTGAGATTAATAACTGATCACAGTGATTTATCAGTCTACTCAGGCTTTAGCAGAGCTCAGTAGCACTGAGATTAATAACCGATCACATTGATTTATCAGTCTACTCAGGCTTTAGCAGAGCTCAGTAACACTGAGATTAATAACTGATCACATTGATTTATCAGTCTACTCAGGCTTTAGCAGAGCTCAGTAACACTGAGATTAATAACCGATCACATTGATTTATCAGTCTACTCAGGCTTTAGCAGAGCTCAGTACGCTGAGATTAATAACCGATCACATTGATTATCAGTCTACTCAGGCTTTAGCAGAGGTCAGTAACACTGAGATTAATAACTGATCACATTGATTTATCAGTCTACTCAGGCTTTAGCGGAGCTCAGTAACACTGAGATTAATAACTGATCACAGTGATTTATCAGTCTACTCAGGCTTTAGCAGAGCTCAGTAGCACTGAGATTAATAACCGATCACATTGATTTATCAGTCTA